TTACATATAATTTTATATAAATAATTATAATTACATATAATTATTAGTACCCGGTAACCTACCTCTTGAACAGCATTTAAAGGCAACAAAGGCCCGTTGTTGTCCCTTTCTTGCTCAAAGTAGTGCATTAACGAGGCCACGAGTTCCTTACACCGACTATTTAACTGTTTGGGCATCTTTATATACCAAAATTGCCTTTATCTACTCGTAAAATGAATAATTTTGTTTTGAAACAAACAGTTGTTGATTTACAGTATGCGGGGCCAAAGGATTTATAAAGATTTGAAATGCCACAAATTGATTCAGTGTCAAAATTAATACAAATGTCAGTTCCCAGTTTAAATAAGTTTCAAGGTGACAATGTGTTAACGCTGCGAAATCGGTTTAGTGCGTTTACATGTCGATAAGTGATTGGAGCGTTTGCAAAACATTTTATTTCGCATAATGCGTCTAAATTTATCAGAAAGCAACTTATGTGATATTTTAATAACAATGTTTATATGACTATTAACCATAATAAGAGAGTAATGACCATTTTACAATTTATATATCACATTAATATGAAACTGCAATAGAGCAATTGTTGTGATAGAAACCTAGGCATTAGGTCGGGGAATTTTATCGTGATGACGTGCACGCCACTTTGTTTGGCGTTGACTATAACTGCGATAGTGACTAATTGTAAAAAAAACTCTTCTACTTTTTTCTCATGGTATTTGGTATCTAAATACCAAATCTTAATGTCTTATATCTTATTTGTAATAATAAATATGTTTAAAAGTATGATATAAATTATTAATGATCTAAAATACACGTGACAACCAACCCCAAGCAATGTGACGTCCAGCCTCAGCAAGGGGCAAGTTGTCACATTTGTTTCTGTATTTTGAAACATTTTAATTTGTTATTGTGAATTATATATTTTACAGCCTTATCGATTTTACATAGTGTTCCCAATGATAAACCATTTAATTATGCACCAGATATGTGCATATAACGCTTCAGATCGAATAAAAAAAAGAATTCTGAAAATTGTGACAACTAGCCCGGTCTCCCCTACGATTGCTAATGTCAAACTTGACTCATTGAAGGGCCCAGTGCTAAGGATGGACGTTTCTGCCTATCTCTGGATAGAGCCAACCTAAGGTTGCTGGTGGGACTGTTGTCTGGCCATAGTACGTTAAGGCGCCACATACACGTGATGGGGGTGGCTGAGGATCTCTTGTGTGAACGCTGCAGGGTAGAGGAAAAGACCTCGGCGCACGTTTTGTGTCGCTGTGAAGCTCTGAGCTCCTATACGCAGACTATACTGGGGTCCATTACTTTGGACCCTCAGGATGTCAAGGAGCTTGGACTCAAGGCGATTCTCAACTTCGCTAAAAGGGCGAGGCTTGTGATCTAAGGAATGTAGGGGTGCATAAGGGCCCGCTTAAGCGGCCTAGGCACTGGCTCCTTATGGATTTCAAGATTCATAGGTTGGTGTCTTGAAAGAAAACCGAACCGAGTGAGATCAAAATCTACAGTGTGTACTTGCCGGTCGGCCTCAGACGAAGGAACATCGCTACGTAAGACGGTTTATTTTATTTTCAGTACATTGTTGCTCCAAGTGTTGAGTTTTGCATTGATTTTAGTCCAGAATTATGACGTGGACTGATGAAGAAACGTTGGCCTTCATTGAAATGTACCGTACTCGTTCTTTATTCTGGAACAGCTCAGACTCAGAGTACAAAAATAAAAACCGAAGATATCACGCTCTCACGAAATAGCTATTTGATTTGGGATAGAGAAACATGAAGTTGAGCGGAAAATAAAAAATCTACAGAGCGATTTTTCGAGGGAGAGAAAGAAAGCCAGACAACTGAAAGTGGTGCTGACGAAGCATACGTAAGCAAATGGTTTGCATATCACGCTATGTTGTTCTTAGTCGACACGAATAAACCACGAGAAACGGTCGATAATGTTGAGGTAAGTTCATATTTTTATTTTTCAAATTTTGCGATTTATAGGTTCAAGTTGGTCTATTAGTGGGTCAATAAGTAATATAGTAGTATAGTACTAGGATTCATTACATTTGAAAAACTGAACAGCATTAATAAATATAGAGGAATTTATTTATTGTATTGGAAGCTCACTTGACCTTGCGCAGAGACAAAATATTCCGCGAATTCATCTCTGGTAGCCTGAGCTGTATCCCCACTTCTTCTTGGAACTCCTGGGAGGTCGCTTAGTTGAGAGGAAGAAGTGTCTTGCCTCCAAACTCCAGGAGTAACTTCACTATCTGCAGATTCAAAGACGAATGTTCCGACAGGATTGTAAACAGATCTCTTTATGAGTAACTACTTACAACAGAGCTTTGAAGAACACTCTAGCCATGGACGATGACCCTACACGCTGACCACTTATTTCTGGCACATGACTGTCTTTTTGAAACTGGTTTTCACTACTACTCGTACTATCAACGTACGTTTTTTGTTTTGACAATTTTGAGAGAAGACATCACTAGCCAGCTTGTTCTTAGATTTAAAGGTCTGCTTCTGAACAATATTTATTAGTACTTAAATAGTCTTATTTTTATGTCTTTTTTCCTAGTATCATAAATAAATAAAACATACCTACTGTATATATTTTTTCATTTTAAATTTCTTACCTTGACGTAATTTTGAAGAGCCTCGACCAGGGCGTCACAAACTTCTGGCACGATACGCGAAATAGCTTGCTTGGATATCTTCATGGTATACATCAATGAATGGTAGGAATCTCCAGTCGCAATGAATCGCAGTGTAACCGCAAGGCGTTCACTTGCAGGAATAGCGTCTCTAAAGAAGGGGTTTTTCGGTCCAATCATATTCAACAAATCCTCGAAATCAGAACTGTTCATTCTGAAGAAGATGCTGAACCCCACTTCGTTTCTGTACTCCAAATTTAACTCATCTACCTTATTAAGTAGTAAATCTTTCATAAATTTACTGAAAATGAAACTATCTTCACTACTACCACCGAACAATAACTACGACTATATTGCGGATGCATTAAGGATGGTTCGGTACCGACCAGGACGTCCTCACTATAAAGCACTATGGATGTAATGCCAACCCGAATATGTTGAACCGAACGTGCTGACCGGCACAGGCCGATCGGCCTCTTTCGGCATAATGTGGACGCACCTTTACAGTCTATGTTTATAAACACTTTCTGTATGAATAACATTCTTAAAATATCACCAGTTCATCTATAATCTCCATGCATATCCTATTAGTACTTAAGCATCTGGTGTTCAAGCTTCATGTATTTTTACTATACGATTCTCTGAGTGATCAAACGGTTGCTGGATAATCAGAAGTCTTCTTAGCAGCAGCGGTAAGACCTGAATGTTCTACGAAAGTATTTACTCGGATAGTTGCTTAAAGGCCTTCAGCGAAAGGCACTCCTAGCCACCCTTAGCTTTTAACAGCTGAAACTTTTTCGCATAATGAATTTCTCACACTAGTTGTAAAGCATCGTTTACATTTATATGGACTGTGGAAACTTGGAAAGCACTTATTGCTGGCCACTAAAGTTGCCGCCGCTTAAAGCTGAAAGGCAAATGAGACTTCTTTTCCTCACGGAGCTTCTCGAGAATTTGAGAACTTGTCTTCGACCCTTCATGGTGAAAAACTGTAGAACTGGATTTGTATGTGCGGCTGGTCGAGACATGATAAAAATGGTTTTCATTTCTATATATAGGTATACAGGGTGATTCCAGAGACGATAGAGTCATTTATAGAACTAGGAAGAACTCAAGTTGAGTAGAATAGAGAATATAATATAATATAGTATCATATAATATAATATAATATAATATAATATAATATAATATAATATAATATAATATAATATAATATAATATAATATAATATAATATATAATATAAGATACCTCATCTTTTCCCGGCAGCTGATGTAGTCGTGTTTAAATCAAATCATATCCTCAGTAATCTTAACACCTTCAAACCCACGATCCGGATCTGTCTTTCAGGCTCGACGCGCGGCGGCGTCATGGAACAGCAAATTCCCTTGTCATGGCGGTAGAAGAGAGCAAGGTCGTCGACCGTCCACCGATGCTAAAAGGTTCTGTGACAGTCCGTTAGAGTAGGGTCACTGATCAGTCGAACAGCGTTCCCCTGAGCAGGATCGAGGACAAGGTAGTCGTGAGGCAGCACCTTAAAGATGCGAGCAGTACTCGGGGCTGAGTCTGACCTAAGCCTTGTATAAAGTGGAAGGTTATGCGGAGAAAAGTACTTCTTAGCCCCGAACAGGTTACCTAACGTTTTACCAACAGCTGTTGCGATTGATGAGGTAAATTCATACTAAATCAAGTCCTCGGTGATCTGGACACCGATCAACCGAAATAAATAGCTCTTTCGAAGAACTCGGACATCTATCGGATGAGCGCTGGTGCGCTTTTTGTTAGTCAAGGAGCAGTTCTGTGTTTTGGAAGCATTAAACTGTACCGGAATGTTGTGTCCCCAAGCGGTGATAGCTTCCAGGTCTCTTTTTAGAGAGGACGTTGGTGCTAGTCTCCTTCTCTCCAGCTCATCGGCAGAGATCGGCCTGTCACACTGAATTACAGCATGTAGAGTGCTGTCATCGGTAAAGTTGCACGCACTTTTGGAACGTGAAGAGTGCTTAGGTTTGAATAAATATAGTTCCCTAATAAAAGAGGACCTTGTCTTAGATGTTCAGAATCAAGATTATGCTATCTGCTAATCCTCAAGAACCATCCTATCAAAATGACTAATTACCAAAATTACTTTTTACAACTCGTATTATAATCTCCGCATGCCACTCAGGTACTCCCAAGTACAGTCTAGTCTGAACTCTAATCCCGATTTATTTTATGAAACTGTGTAGACAGCTTGTCTTTATACTGATTCTACTGACCTAGATTTCGATTTTCTGGCACCAACAAAGCCCTCTCCTGTTGGATAGATAGATGAGAGGCGTATTTCTACTGTGGCTACTATGCTTACATTATATTATGTCAATCTGACAACAAACATCAACGCATGTCAAACTACACATCACCCAACTGATGCCACTGCTGATCATGTGAATAGTCACCTAGGGGCAATGGCGAGGCTGATTTTGGACCTGGGATGTCTGATGACCGGCATCGTGGCTGGAGTCCTGACAGGCAGGTACAGCAAGCTCGTATTAAGCCAATTCCTCACCGCTGATGATTTCGAACGCATTGATTGGCAGAAGGAATGCGAAGAAGACGAATGCGACTGCGGAAGCGAAGAGGAATGCCAGTGCACACCGGACGACAGTGACTTCTAAATTGTGCAGTATTTGCTCGCAGTATATGACTTGTTTTCAATAAATTCCGTGGTGGACAAAGTAGCTTACTTACAATGAATAAATGTAGATAGGTTCCAGTGTATAAGCCAACCTAAATTTTCATTTTCATCTCTCGCTGTTACAAGCGATTGAAACTCATTATAACTATGCCAATTTGGGCTAAGAAGCACATCTTGGACTAGATTGCAGACAAGCAAGAATTTTTGAATGTTTTTGCGATACGAGTTTTTCATTGCGACATTTTTATTGCACTTTATTACAACCAAATGTAACTTGGTATACGTGGTAATTTAAGCCGCTGATTTTGAAAATGCTTGTAATGATAAGTCACGAAGCCCTATTTGGAGTAGGGATATGGAACTCACATCAATCTCAGTGACAAACATATCAGATTCGTGATTACCTACCAGATTTACTCAAGATCTAAGTATCTGTCAAAATAGACTATACGTAAGAATTTTTGAGAAATTCGAATTTCATAGTGCCTCAAGACAAAATTTCCATGTTCATGTCCCGTTCTGACAAGCGAAAGAAGCTTCGTAACCTGGGACCGTAATTGAAAAAATGACTCTGCACTTCCCACGTAGCTAATAATCCGTCTTTGGCATGCAACGCCCTTATCAGTACATATATTAATATACTAAGTGACATATAAATCCGAACACCCAGTTTAAATGGTTTTATTTTAATAAAAGTTGGTGAATGTATTTATCTTACTGTTAATAACAAGTGAAAAAATTTTCAGCCTTATCAGTTGGACATTCCGGTTTTTATACTGCTTTTTTTTAATTCACTAACAGTCTAAAAATGAATATTTCAGCCGCAGTAAAGAATCAACGTTGGCGGATTTTGGTTCTTGACATCATTTACGATCGGTTACGATGCCTAGAGTACGAAGACCTGTACGATTTCGTCAACTTAGTGAGTTTGATAGGGGCCGTATAGAGGGACTTCGGGAAGCTGGACTTTCTTTTCGGGCAATTGCAGTTAGAGTGCAAAGAAGTGTAGACACTGTGGTTAGGTGTTGTCAGGCATGGCTTCGAGAAGGCCGTACGCAAAGAGCAAGGGGCACTGGACGCCGCCGTAGAATAACAGACCGTGAAGATCGCCGCCTAAGATTATTGGCCTTAAGGGACCGTTTCTCCACTACCAGGTCCATCGCAAATGAATGGTTTGCAGAACACGGAAGAACTCTTGGCATGCGTAGTGTTTACCGACGAATGAGAAGTTTTGGCTTGTTTTCATACCGGCCACACTGGGTCCTCCCTTTAACTCGAGAACACCGACGTAATCGCCTTGAGTGGTGCAGACAGCGGTCACTCTGGGATCAGGAATGGAACAGTATTGTCTTTAGTGACGAGTCTCGATTTTGTTTAGGCATGCACGATGGTCGTGCCAGGGTTAGAAGGCGACGTGGTGAAAGGAGGAATCCACAGTTTTTTGTTGAAAGACATGTTCATCACACTGTTGGAGTTATGGTTTGGGGTGTTATAGCTTATGGTTCCAGGTCACCTTTAATCTTCATCAGAGGTAACATGAACGCGCAGCGTTATATCCACGAAGTTTTAGAACCCCATATTTTACCCTATCTTGACACCCTGGCAGATCCAACTTTCCAACAAGATAATGCCCGACCACATGTTGCAAGAGTCACAATAGACATAATGATGTCACATTGTTACCATGACCACCAAGATCTCCCGACTTATCCCCAATTGAGCACGTGTGGGATATGATGGGTAGGAGATTGCTCAATTTGCAACGTCCTCCTCAGACTCTAGAAGCACTTCGAGAGGAGTTGGTGGTTGCCTGGAATGAGATACCACAGGAGGACACTGACCACCTGATGAGAAGCATGCCTAGGCGCGTTGGAGAATGCGTAGCACATCAGGGTGCATCCACACATTATTAAAGGTCAAAGGGCTTTAAAGCAGTGCAATCATTTTGATATTTTTATCATTTACTTATTATGCTTCATTAAGTACTTATACAAAATTTTATTAAAATAAAACCATTTAAACTGGGTGTTCGGATTTATATGTCACTTAGTATATAAGGAGATGAGATAACGCTAATATGATGCATTGTAATAATATTGTACAGAGTGTGCCAAGGTACATAATTTGGAAGAGACTAGCGGAACGCATCGTTCGCTGCTATTCACGCGGTGTGCCTTTCAGTACGTTGAGAACCGCATATACGTTGACAAAAACGTGCCACGTTTTTAATTGTATACCTTTAAACTGACAAAGTATCTCATGGAAAATGTCTATTTTTGTTATCTGTTGTTACAAGCGAACCTATGGTGAGTTTACTATGGAATACTACGCTAACAAATAAACAGTTGTTATTCCTTCACTTACTAGATAAATGGAAAAATAACGTAACATATAAAACATTTTTGATCACAGTAGATTATTTTAAACTTTTACTTTAGGGGCTGTAAAAGGCCGCAATCTGGCTATTCAATTACAAACCCTAGTCGTTATCTACTCTGGCATAAATTCACTAACGTCTAATTTTACAAAGGTAAATAAACTGCCCTACAATTTTGTGACGTTTCACATTTTCAGTTCAGTGGAATACCAGTAATTTATGCAGATTGCCGTTGTAATGCTGTCAGATTTCGCGGCGTGGATAAAAATATAATCTGATGTTATCTTGGGCTATTAGTCACACGGTAAGGTTAGCGAATAAGTAGAGGGGCCTTTTGTACCTGTGCTTTGAACCTTCTAAATAAGTAAATTTCATCAGGTGTGTGAAAATTATGATTCAGATAAAAGGATTTCTTCACACAGTACCATACTAGTTACTACACTTAGGAATTATAATGCCATCCACTCACATACATCACGGATTGATTAACAGCAAGCAGATGGCTTCCGGCATCAATAACCAACGAGAGACCTTCTAGCTAACGTCACACAACTGTGGAGTACACGTATCCAGGTATATGGCGAGGCTCATGTCGTTGCTCTTGGTGTCATGAAAGCTTTAGGTCAGCTGTGGCATGCAGCCCTCTTAAGCAAACGTGCACTGGATTGTCTCCTAGAGAAGCTTTGCAGATAAGTGGCTCCCACAATGTCAACGCGGGTATTCTCCAGGGATCGGTCGTAGCTCCAGCATTGTTCCTATAACATATCAACGGAGTCCTCTCCTATACGATGAATCCTATCCACAGCTAGTCAATCGCAACAGCTGATGAGAAAAATGTATGTTATCTACTTTTCTTTACCTAACCTCCTCACTCTGTAGAAGGCCCACATTTGGAGTGCTGTCGCTCTGACTACATTGGCCATATTCAATGCTATTTGGAGGAGGACTGTTCAACTGATCTAAGATATTAGTATTTCTCTCACGAACATTCCCGGGACATTCCCTTACTGCGTCAGTCGGCGATATTATTCTTTTCTATCGATATGACAACGAGCTCTGCGCTTCAGAGCTCTCCCTCATGAAACCACCGCGTTTTGAGCCTGCCAGTTGAACCCGCCAGACTTCTGCCTTCCATCGTGACTATGTCACACTTTACACATCCAGAAATATTCCGAGGGTGTCGGGATCGTAGAACAATCTGCTTGAGGAAGATTTTGTCAGTTCTGTTAACTTCAGGTAGTTCAAAAAAAGTTTAAAAAAACTCTGCCGCCAATTTCTAAATCACTCCCTAAGGTAGTCCAAGGAGATTCGAGACAATCACTGTATATCCCGCCGCATGCGTTGTTGGAACGGCTGTGGAGCCATGGTATCTCATGGTTGCTCATTCTGCCGATTTTTCAGTGGATCCTTGGATTTTATCCGATGGAGATCCGAGGAAATCTAAGTAAATATGAGAAAACTTAAAGATTTCCGACGAAGCCAAATAGTCTCAAATGAGAACCAAGGAAATCTGCTTGTTCCAATAAGCTGTCAGTGCCAAAATCTAGGTATCAGTGTGGCGATACAGTATGTTGGTACACTGAGTAGAAATAATGTATTATTCCGTTAGAATGGCGAAGCTAGGAGACGTAAATTGTTAAAATGTTTGTTTAGGAGTTTTAAAGCGAGTTTTATCGTTTTCCTATAAGTAGGTAGGTGCTTAGGATATGAAAATAGCAGGAATATTACAACGAGGTGTCTATTTATAGGTAAGCGTGTCGAGATAATGGAAAATTGAATGCAAATGGTGTGAGAGAAGCGCTTCCAGGCTGTTGCATATACTTGAAGGTAGTGTTACTTATATAAATCGTCAATTCGCATATGAAAAAGCTTTTACCGATTAGGCCATTGACATAATAATAATAATAATAATAATAATAATAATAATAATAATAATGTCTATTGGAGTATTATTACATAATAGAATCAAAATACGAGCAAATAATATAACACAAAAAATAATAATACTCCAAAGGGCTGGGAATTGGCATAGCCATTTTTCACCCCCGCCTGAATAGCTAAGGTAAATTCATTAAGTGCATTACTATATCTTACTAGGGTATATCATATACATTACATAAAGGATATGTAGTTGACTATAATAATGCTAACAAAACTTTAAAATATAATAAGATTAATAATGAGATTTATTCAGCCACTTGTAGATTCATTAAATTGTAACTGTAATAGCATTATTTTGAATTCTCTTTTGAAGCTGTGAATGGACGTTAATTTAAAGAAACTTGGGTAATCATTTAGTATACTGGGAGCTATGTAATAGAAACATTTTTTAAATTTTGAGGTAGTGTGGGCTGGTATATTATAATAATATTCATTACGGAGGAACAGTTGATGGAGTGAAGATCTTTTCTCTAACGTGTCAAAAAGATATTTCGGAGATTTATATTTTAAAACCCTAAATAACAGAACCGCATAGCCTCCTGAGACCCGAGTCTCGTCAGTTTGTTATTTTTTGGAAAAAAATGTGTATTCGTCATACTTTTTACATAGAAACAACACATGATTTTTTTCAAATTTTTATTTTTTTATTTTCTATACTATATACTATATATATACTATATTTTCTATACAAAATTATTTCAAGTGGAACTCCTTAAAGCAGTTCTTGTGCCCTGTCAGACAAAGAAAAACATCGCAAAATTCACAAAACACTTTTGTTTTTTGTTTACAACCTTGATTTTTGCATCTCATGGAGTTCTTCAAATCGGAGGCTATTGCCGGAAAGTGTTCGATTGGCTTATTGTTTTGTAAAAAACAACTTTGGGATAATGGTCTAGGACCTGAAGAGCTCCTAGTAGCTAATGTTGAAATGCCTGTTGAATAGTCTTCAGACTTATCACTCTTCAATAAAAGCTCTGCTACAGCGACTTTAAATTCAAGGAACTTCATGATGTTTCTGTCCCCAAGTTTTTGCCTATCATCTCGATAAAATATTCAGGAGTTTGCAATTGCCAGGTCGAATAGATGGAAAATCGATTTAACTGTCCATTTCATACTTCTTGCTCCTATTCGATAGTAGCTTATCATCCTATCTATTAAATCAATCCCGCCCATGCACTCATTGTACTTTTTGACAATGTTCGGCCTAGGTACGTGTAGATATTTTGAATCTTTCTTTGACCAACGTCTGCAGTCATCCGAAGGTTCTATTTGCAGAGAAGATGAGGCTAAAATGACTGACTTCATATCATACCATTGTACTATGTTAATTTTTCCATCACATCTTACATCCTGTTCGGAGGAACCACGTCCTAATCGAGCCATCATAGTATCGGATGTTGAGTTAGCTGCTTTTGGCAGTCTAGATTTCATTATTGTGCCAGTCAGTAACATCTTTTTAGTATTTAACATGTACTCGATAAGTGGTAGGGTAGTGAAATATCTGTACACGTAAATGTGTGTTCCTTCTAACAACGTTTCACTCAATTTAACAACGGCAGATGGACCCACTCCCAAATTTGTAACTTTGTTATCAAGGAAAGTATTTTTCCCTTGATAAATTTCGAAGTCCAATACCAAGCCTTTGGGAGTAGCACAAACAAAATTTTTCAACCCTTCCGGGTTAGGCTTGCCACGAACAAATTGTTTCATGTGGCACATTCCAGTGAAAGGAATCATTTGTTCGTCGATAGCAACCTCCTGACATCGTGGGAGTGATTTGCAACCTTTTTTAATCCGATCAATCAGAGGACGAATTTTGAAGAGCTTATCAGCCTTTTTCTCATTTTCCGGAACATCAGCATCGATCACTACTTTCAAGTTACTCCTAATTTGGAAATATCTGTCACGTGTCATCAAATTAGCAATACTATTAACCTTCGTCGTTTTAGCCCAATACATTTTAATTTGGGGATACTTAAGACAAGACATCAAAACTGAAATACCAAAAAAATATCTCACTTCTTCGGCTGTCAAGTTCATAGGCTTGCCTTTCTCCTGAAGGAATCTAACGTTTCTACAGTGGCAAATATCTATAAAGTCAGAATCGTCAAAGTCTATGCTGATGTATTTTTCTATTTTCCAGTCTCGCCTTTCGTAGGTTGTGTCTTCAGGCTCAGAAAATCTGACAGCTGGAGGAACAAACATGCCCATCTTTTTCCATACTTGCTTACCGTCATTGGTAGATTTTTCTTGAAGGAGCTTCTTCCTCAGTTTACTCAGTGGCTCATCTTCTGAATCACTCTCAGGCAGTAGTTCTGCTTCTGGATCTTGAACTGAAGGACCCTCGTCTTCATGTCTCAGATCAGGAAAATCTTCATCTGACGCAATGTCTTCATATTCGTTTTCTGAGTAAGAGTCCGACAGGTCAGACAGTTCCAGACACTGTAGCAATTTTTCATCATCTTGGCCAGGAATTAAATGAGTCTTGTTTCCGAAAATAGCTGAAGCAAAAAATCAAGAATGGTAAAATAGTGTAGGCTTATTGACCCAACTCAGATGCATGCATTACACATTAGGCCACATGTTAGTTACAAGCAATGCAGTATTAACTCCATAATTTTAAGTACTTACCATCAATTTTGGAGCTCCAATGTGATGCCATTTTACCACGTGCTCATAGCCCCGATGATCACTAGTAAATGCGCCTGAACCAAGCTGCAGCGACGTTGCCACGTAGGCGTGTATGTCCACTAAAATGTACCGAGAACTAGGCGCTGTAATTCTGTTCTTTGCGAAAATATACAATAAAACGTGAGTGTCCAATTAAATGGACACTGGGTCTCAGGAGGATAGAGAAGTAACGAGCGATATTTGAACTTTAAAAGATTTTCCCTTACATAATACCCAGTAATGTGTTTGCGTCTGTTTATCTCATTGAAACAAAACCTCATACAACGGTTTTGTAAAACTTGAATTTTCTGTTGCATTTCCTCAGTGATAAAAGGATAATATACAGTACTACAATAATCTAAACGTGTGAGGGTTAACGCATTAACAAGTTTTAGTTTGATATCACTTGTTAATATATACTTATATCTCCATAGCGATTTGTATTTATAATAACATATTCTGAGCTTATTTATAATGTGACTTTCAAAACATAAATTCTTATCAAGTACTATTCCCAAATTTTTTGTTTCTTCAACAAATTCAATGTTAATCCCTTCTAAAAATATGTTTGTATTTATTACTTGTTTACACTTCAGAATCGCTAGTCTAGAACCAACACAACATACTTTGGTTTTCAAGGGATTGAGCTTCAAACAATGATTTTTTGAGTACCGTTCAATTATGTCTAAATTTTTATTAGGTTCTAATATTAAAGAATTTACATCGGTTGGTTGACATGGTTTGTAAACTTGTACATCATCCGCATACAAATGTACATTCCAGTCAGATGATATATGTTTTATCAGATCTGAGGTATAAAAAGTAAATAAAATAGGACCTAAAACGCTGCCTTGTGGAACACCAGACTTCAAAGCTCGTAAAGTGGACACTTTACCACGCAATTTTACACATTGAGATCTATCAAACAAGTAATTACATGGCAGCATGGCATTTCCGGTCAGACCAAAAAAAAACTTTGTGATTTACCATGTCAAATGCCTTGCTGAAGTCTAGCATGACTAGTAATGTTATCATGCCATCGTCTATAAATTTCACTATATAATAATAATGCCTTTATTAGCTGCAGTGAGGCGAAGTTTAGCCAGACTCAACCCCACAACAGGAAAAAAGAATACTTAAACACATAAACAAAATAATAACATACCAAAAAAAAATACAATTGATAAGAATGACAACATTGATTGCACGAGACAAATGTAGATAGTATTGCGATAGTTTTACATTTGAAACAAAAATAGTAGAAAATAGTCAAACAAAAAAAAATCACATGAACACAAGAAAAACTGAACTAAATGGACTCCAGCAGCTGACTTTTTATTAATTTCTTAAAAGAAACAACCTCTTTGGATCGATAGCCACTGTTGACTGCATTGTAATGCTTGACAGCATTATAGATGTAACTTCTTTCAAAGACCGAGGTATTGTGAGGAGGCATGTTAAAATTAGCATTAAATCTAAGAGCTCTGGTAACAAAACTACCTCGGTGAACTAATTTGCTAGCGAGGTAAGCTGGTCTGTTAGATAATAGAACTTTATGCGTGAAGACGGTCAAAAGATATAAAAATAACTTATCAATTCGCAATTCACTGGAAATTTTAATGATATGATACTAGATTGGTCGCTCGATCTGTTAAGCGAGTTGTTAACTTCATTCGGGATTTTAGAGGAAACCCAGAACTACAAGTATCCAGTCGCAACGCGGCTTGAACTCACCAGAGACTATTACGCAGAAACAGAACGTTGCTGGGATAGTTCTTTATAGAATTCGAGTAAGGCTATTGACTTTTCTAGATCAGTTTCCTCAGAATGCTTTCATCTTTCAAAAAATATAATCCCATGCTTGAAATGATCCGCTTACTCTTTAGTCTCACTTCCTTGATTGTTTTCCACTAATCAGCCTTGTTACAGATTTCATATTACATTGCTTATAAGGCAAAAAACGTTATTCTTAATACGGTCAAAGTGGCATACGAAAAGTTATTATATTCACACTCAGCCTGGAATTATCTTCATATATGTATTTTTGGAGTACTGCTACTCACATCTTATAATCGTCAGAGAGCTTCTATCTGACTTATTGGTGACAAATCAGAGATGTCCACCAAAAATGCCACATCGTTCCAGGTCTGCTATACGAACCCGTCAAGTTGCGCTGCTCATTCTACCTTTTCTGAAGTTTGTTCATAGAATATCGAGAATGCGTAGAAGTTTGCTGTAGGAATATCTAGTTCTGCAAGCCTAAGGATTGAGTTCAGTATTCGGATTAACAAGATATTTTCAACTCTTCTATAGAAGTCGCGATATAGAACTTAACTATCGAAAATAAGAATGTATGTATTTAAGTTTTTCGCATTGCATTTTCAACAAAAATATTGTAACTGTATGCAGATGAGGCTGGCTTCCCGGACTCGTTGAAATATCCCCTAATCTAAATTTTCGCAGATTTCCACCCTCCTAATTACCATAAAATGTAGCACGTACATACGTTTCGCAAATTCCAGCGAGCGTTGTGACAAACATGCGGGATTTCCTTCAGATTTATGTAGTCAGTGCCAGCTCCAAAGGTGTGTAACAGCCAAATATTTCCGGTCCTCTGCGACATTTATTGGTTGTCTGAATTATTATCTGCGAATAGATCATCTCTAAAGGCGGGCACTGTCGTTCATCTAAATGGAACGGTTTGAAAACCTCATGTGTTATCTGAGATCCCATGTACGATCCGCATACCCTGTGTCATATATGTTAACGGATGCAAATTGTTGAGCGAAAAGCAGATATAAAGCATCTGCGAAAGATTGCGTCAAGTTGACTCTGCATTGTTCACGCAACGCTGACATCAATTCATGCAGCATTATGTAAGGCACAAGTTAGTCCCTCCGAGAAGTTAGCTACGAACATCTCATCTTCATATCAATGAACCCGATCGTTTCGCTCGCGTTCATATATTTCTACAACTCCCTTCCCCAATGAACATCTGGGGGCCACCAATTTGGCCTTTTCTCAACGGATTAGTCCCCGCTACGCCACTGTGTACAGTAATTCCGATACGCATGTACGATTTTCTCGCGAAGAATATGAAAACGCTGCTCGGCGGCCACTCAAAGCAATGGATACGTATCTTTTTTTTTATATCGAAACAGCCGCGCAGGCAGAAGCCTAAATGCCGGATCACCGCGGCTGCTATGATGATCCCAAAGATATTTTGTTAATACGATTTTTGAACTGCCTAAGGTTAGTAGAACTGGGAAAAGCTTCCTCCCGTAGATTGTTCCACAATCTAGACACCCTCGGGACAAAGGAGCGGTCGTATCGGCCAG